ATAAGATGATCTATATAATATTAAAATAAATTTTAATATAATAATAAATATATAATTTATTATTAATTAAATTATTATTTGCACTAACTAATTTTAGTTATCCATAATAAATTAACTTAATTATTTTAATTTTAAGAATAAATATAAATTTACCATTTTTTAGTTAATATGAAAAAGAATTATTTATTATTCAGAAATCTTCATTCATGATCTTATTATGAAAAGAAATATCTAATACAGTACAAAATAAAATATTAATTAAATAATTAGTTATCAATCTAAAATAGCAAACTCATAAGATCATACAATTTAAAACTTTTTATATAAGTAATCTAAATATTACTGATTAATATGAATTTTTTATATTATAGATTATATAACTAATACTTATATTATTAAAGATAGATACCACAATTAAAAAAATGATATAATTAAATAGCAACTTGTAATGTAATTAATTTTTCTTATAGAAATTTAAAAATAATTATAGGGATTAACTTTATATATTAAATTAAGAATTTAATACTTTTATTTAATTTTACAAATATTTATTAAAAATCTAATGAATAACTAAATAATAAATTTTAAAATTAATTATATTATTATTTGTAATAAAATTATTTTATATTATTATTTAAAATTTTTAACTAATATAAAGTTTTTTTTTATTTTTTAAATTTTTATTTTACTAAATAAATTATTAATGATGTATTATTTAATATAGACTATAATTTGAATCAGATCGGGTCAACCTATTTATCTGATTTGATCTGACTTAAAAAATTAAGTCTAATCAGTAGATTTTTAGATTAATATCAAATCAGATCAACAGATCGATTTGATCTGATTTGACTTAATAAAATTCAAGTAATCATTTTTTTTGAACAATTTATTATAAAATTCAAAAAATTTAATTATAATAATAATTTATAAAGTATGATAATTTTACAATATACATTTATATTGATACAATATTAATAAATTACATAAATAAATATTTTTAAAAAAAAATTAGAAATTAATACAGTTATAAAAAATAACTATTATTCAATGAATATTAAATTAATATTGATAAAATATTATATATAAATAGTTTGAATCTATAGAATATATTTACATAATATGTAGTAAAAGATTTATTTTGATCAAAGTGATCAAATTAATTTGTGAAGTTTAAAAGGTGAGACTTATTTAATAAGTTACAAAAATTATTTCTACATAAATATTAAACTAATCTTAATAAAATATTAAATGTAAATAGTATTGAATCTATTAAACAACTTTAACATAGAAATAAAAGGCAATTGACTTTAACTAAAATAATTAAATTATCCTGTAAATTTAAAAAAAAGTATCACAATATTAATAAAGACTAAATTTGAAAAAAAATATAAATATTAAAAGTTATGTATAATTCAATAAAAAATCACTAAATATAACTATATAAATATCAAACTAATTTTAATAAAAAATTAAATATAAATGGTATCAATTTTGCTAAACAACTTTACTTAGAGATGAAAGACGATTAACTTTGACTAAAATATTAAATCTTCATCATGAAATCTCTGTATTAATATTAAAAAAAGATATTAAATATATATAATAATTAAAATTTACAAAAATTAAAAAATAATAACATTTTATAAGTTTTTATAAGTTTAAATATTTAAGTTTAAAAAAATAAGATATATTTTTTTTTAAATAAAATAAAATATTTTTTTATTAAAAAAAAAAAGATTGAAAAATTAATTTTCAGTGATATTAATTATGCAACTATAATTAATCATTAAATTAAATTATTTTAATTATTTCATATACAATTTTTATAAGAAAAAAGTAAAAAAAAAATAATAAAATATATTAGAGTTTTAAATTGAATCAAATATAATATATCATTTTTTTTAAATAATTTAATCAGATTAGGTTAAATTAGATCAGGTCTGGTCAGATCAAATGAAAATTTAAATCAGATCAGATTTTTGTTTGACCTAATATGATTCTTTTAGTTCAGGTTTCTTGATTGACCTGACTTAAACTGACCTGTTTAGAGTTCTAATACAGACTTTATTTTTTTTCTTAATTATATTTAATATAAAATTTTTTTAATCTAATCCTATATTTGATAAAATAATTTATTTTAATTTATTAATTAAGTTATATTTATAATAAATCCAGAAATTATTTTTATTTACGTGATTATGTAAGGCTAATTGGATAGGTGTTTTAAAATAATATGTTTTATAAAAGTTTTAGAATAAATACTCTTGTAAAAAAAGAAACTTTAAAATTTTAATGTTAAAAAAATTGGTAAAATAGATAAGATAACAATAGACTATTTTATGATAAATATACAAATATGATGATTTGTTTATTTAAGTTTTCTAAAAGGTATACATATAGTATTATATTAGTATTAACTTGCCATTGGTATTTTATGAAAATAAAAATCTAATTTTTATCAAATTACATTTATAAATACTTTGTGTAACTTAAAATTTTGACGAGAAAGATCGTACAAAACGATTTCGATCGATTGATATAACGCATTGTATTTCCAATAGCCATAAACGCCATTCTGAAGTGATACTTCAAAATTTGGACAAATGAATCCCAAGTAAAGTTAAGGGATTATTTAAAAAATTTCCTTGCTTAAATAAATAAGATTATTTTTTCATCAGAGTATTTTTTTTTCAAAATTATACTAAACGATTTCAACGATTTCGTCTAAATATTTGGGTCTTTGTTCGTTTTTTTTTTTTTATTTCCCTTTCAAGAATACATTAAATTCAACAATAGCTTTGGTTGCTATTGTTAAGAAAATAAGCAGCATTAAAAATGACGGAACTTTTTCTCATCTTAATATTGAATCCGGTAAAGATCTTACTTTATGAAATAAAATTTTATCAAATTTGATACAATTTTTTTTTTAATGTGCCGGAATTACTATTTTAAAACATTAATAATATTTATCAATTTAAAGTGTTTCACTTCAATAAATAGTACAAAGATGTGACGATTGAGAAATAGTTATGGAACGATATGAAAATGTTGCTTGGTCATGGAATTTGAATTTCCGTAAATTTCTGGATAAAAATAAAATGATAATAATAAATTAATTAAAAACAGAAACGTCCAATAAAAAATAAAAAGATCTCTTTTACAAACATGGGAATTCTAATTAATATTTCACGCGCGCGTTATATAAACAAATCCAAAATATTGGTGAAAGATATTTTTAAATTACGACATCCTTTTATATTTTGTGATATATTTGGTGCGTCTGTGAGAAGTTTGGACCAATAAGATTTGACGATCACGTAATAAAGGAAATTCCGGCGTCAAGGTAAAGGAAAATCCTTATTTGATACATTTATTAAAAAAAAAAATTACGTACTTTGTACTTTGTTCGTCCATTATGAGCACATTTTTTCATCAATTTAATTTGGTAATAAAAAGTAGATGCATTAAAATAATTCTTGGCATTGGATTTGTATATAAACTACGTTGGGATTACCAAGTGTGGAGTTAATACAAACCAAACCATCTCCCTACACAACTATACACACTCTTTTCATTTCATAAAAACGATTTCTTCTCCTTCCAATCAACCGCAAATTTTTGAGAATCGTTTCTCCCACCTCAAATCATTAACCTTTCGTAAAAAATTAACCTCCCAACTCAATATGAAGATCTCTTTGAGTTTAATTTTCACATTATGTTTAATTTTCACGGTTGCTTTTGCTGCGCCAATCGCGAGTAAAAACGATAGTTTCGAAATGCATGGTGGCGGTGGCAATGACCTTGACTGTCATACACCTGAAGGTATGGAAATTTACATTTTTTTTTTTTTTTTTTGATTGAAATTTTTTTTCATCGAAGTCTGACGAGTCTTTATTTTTGCATCGTTCTTTTCTAGGTCGTAACAAATTCAGATGTAGATCAAGATGAATTTACAACTTTGTTTTTTTTTTATTCGAAATTTCACAAAGTATATAATTTCATATCATGTATTCTTTTTAACGGTTAAGATGGAGTTACTTTAAATGCTATTTTATTTATCGAATTGAATAAACTTAAATAATATCTTAATCAATCATTAAATAACACCTAATCCTTTTAAAATTCGGGTAGTTGGCCGGTCCTCTTTTATTATTATCATTATTATTGTAATTAAAATAATCGTTCTTACCCTATGTACATAATATTCTATGTACATGAATGGTTCACTTCATGTAATATACAGCCCAGAAAAATAATGTTGGTTATATATCTTTTAGTGCAGTTCTTATATTATTAATAAAAGCGAACAATTTTCAAAAAAAATAAGATTTTATTGAATAATTTTAATATAATAAATTTTAGAGTCCAAAAATATTATTAAAAATTTTCAACAGGCGCTTGATATTATTTTGTTTTTTTTAAATAAATAAATAAATATATATATTAATAAAGGAAATAACCAAAAAAGTAAAAGTAAATTTATATGTTAAAATACTTTTTTAGTAAATAAGCTCAAATTTAACATTTACTCAAAAATTTTTTTTTTTTTTTTTGAAGTTTCCTCTTTTTCTACTGCAAAGTGCCTATAAATTTAAGTAAGGAATTGTGTATAATTTTGAAACATTCTTCGTCCGTACCGTTTGTAATACAAATTGATGATGATTTGATGTTTGATGTTAATCATCTACATACCCCGATTTTTTCATACGCATACGCGAAATTCGGTTAACCTTTGGATGATCACCGAGCCCTTTTGTATAACAAAGTTCCTTATTCACTTTATCTATCGATTTGGTTTAATATAATAAAAGCGAAAAATTTCTAAAAAAAAAAAATCATTTCCTTCTTTTTTCTTTTTTTTTGCCAAATCAGGAAATCATGTGGAAATCAACTAATTAAAACAGGCAAAATGAATATCCGAAGGCTCTTTCATGTTAAAATATCAAAAATTACTATATATAAACAATCGAATTTGAAAAAATAAAAAATAAAAAACCATGACTAACTTTTCAGACTTTTCATTCCTTGGTAAGTTAATGATATTCTGCTTTACTTCAACTTTATTTTTTTTTTTACCTTTTTCTAATCTCGCTTGCTTTTCCCTGTTGCAGCTCGAGCGATTGCAGATTTTTGCATATTAATATGGTCGATCATACATATCTATAGTATTGACAAGTTTGAAGCATTGCGATGGAAAGTGATCAAAAGAAAAGAAGTCAAATCCATAATGACGATACTATACCTAATTTCCATAGTACTAATATTAACCTACGACGTCATCTCCTCCAAAATAAAATACTCTGAAGGCTTCATCTTTGATCCGACCAAACAGAGGGTCATTGATAAACCGCAAGAGCAATGGTCACCTGAGAATAAACAATTGAGGCGCATGGCTCATCTCATACTCATGATTTTTTATGCCGTTGAGAATTCCGCGATATTTTTATTACAAAATTTTTGGAATTATTTAGTCAATGACATCGTTAGAGCGAAATTTATCACCACTTGGCAATTTAGGATAAATTACGCTTTTATCGCCATCGCCTTGATCATATTCCCTTGCATTCATTTCCTATTTAGTATCGATGATCAAAAAATGGATTCTTTCAACGTTCAAGAATTAAAAGCATATCAGCAAAAACAAGCTATTGAAGAGGTAAACGAATTAGATTCAAGTAATCATGTCACGAATGAATGAATTCATATATTTTATTCCTAATTATTTTATTTGATTTTCTTTTTATTTAAAAGGTCATTCCGCAACTGGCGGCAATGTCTTGCAACTTATTCGTATTAGTTTACGGGTTAATGGCTCACCTTAAATTTTCCTCCCTTATTAAACACAATAATCGAAATCATATAGCCGACCGTTTAAAATATTATAGATACATGAATGGTTTATTGATTTTAATTATCGGGTTAGGTGCTAGTTCAATGATTATATTTAATGTTGATGCTCTTACGGAGAAGAAATATTTGAACAATAATAAATTTACCATCGATTTATTTGCCGGAATAATCAATATTTCGATGGTCGCTTGTTGGATCGTTTGGCGTGAGTATTTTTATTGATCTTTACACGTTATTAACCGCACAACGTTTTGACATGGATTTAACAGAATAATTTTTTTTTTTCTCTCTCCATTTACCATATAAAATAAAATTTAGTATTGATATTTTATCCACGATTACTTCCAAATGATGGTGGTTATTTAAAATTATCATCCCCGTCAGCACCTTTAAAATCTCAAGGTTCCAAGAATGTCAAACATATTCAAATCAAAATTGATTCCACAACCATAATAATGGATACTAACCAAGAAAATTACGTCGGTGAAGGTATAAGCGGAAATCCTCGAGGGTCGATTGTTAGCGAGGTACTTTTACCTCCACCTTTGGCTACCAATAACAAGCAAATCGTTTCGTACGCTAGAGCAGGTTCTCCAAAGCAATCTAGGAATTTTTAACTTGTAGTAATTAAATAGATATATAAAATATTGTATATTTTATAATCCAGGTGTAAATTTTTGTTATTTGTCGTTAATGATGTAAATTTCTTATTAATCATATATAAATAATAAAAAAAATGATAATGATGGCTGATAAATACATAATTACGTCATTACGGTGTAATGTGACAAGCAAAACGAGTGTTACCCGTAATTGAGTTACCCGAAATGAAGTTGTATCACACCTTTGAGTTTGTACGGTGACCCAAGTTGCAATTTTAAATTGGGGGCAGGTATCTTTTGTTAGAAAGTTGTTGTATTTTATTTACCAATAACGAGAGAGATAACTTGGTATTCTGTTATTCGATTTACATTCCCGATTTAAATCTGATCTTACATATATCGAAAATTGCGAAAACTTGAGAATTCAGAAAACAAAACATATTTACCTTCAATTTCATTAATATATCTAAGAACCTTCTACAACGAAACAGATGCCTAATTCAACTGCAAAAAAAAAAATAAGAAAATAAAGGTGCACTTCAACATCCCAATCACCAAGTTCGTATTAATGTTTTTACAGCAAAAGTCTCGAACAAAATAAATAGAGCTTTCTTGTGAGCCTAGAAATTGTAATCGGTCAATACCTTTAGTAATGCTTTCGTCATTATGCGAGCCTTAATATTCTCTGCTAACGAACCCGGTTCGCGAAAAGAAGGCGATACATGTTTGATTTCTTCAATCAATTAAAGTTATCGTTGTCTAGGGAAAGATAATTAAAGTTGTTATATGCCCGAATCTTGGTACAATATTTAAGTACTGTATATACTCCAAATGTAGCTAAAGGAACTAGAATGAGGAATCTTACCAATATTCCACTTCATAAACGGTTAATGGAAAATCCAACTCTTAATACCGAGGAACTATTCCAAACTTTCCACGGACCAGATTTTCCGGGATGTGGAATTGTCTTAGAAAAAGAAAATTTGCTAAACTTTTATGAAAAAGGGAAAGGAACCATTTATATTCGGGGAAGGCCGAAACTAGAACGAGAAACAGAAACAATTGATAAATATGAAAACTTTTGATACTTCACTTTACGAGGATCTCCTTAGTTTCTCGAACACGTTATTCATCAGATTATATAAATCCTTCTCAGATATTAAAACCAATGCGGGATAATCACAGTGACCTATAATCGGTATATCGGTCAAAGACCGATATAACGTTAGGAAAACTGTTCTTTACCCGGTTCCAAGTTCAAAGTACCAAGTCCGGAATTTTTTATAATTCTAGTAAAATTATAATTAATTGTATTTTATAATAAATAAGGTCAAATTTAGCAAGTAGTTTTAAAGTTTTAAAAAAATAATCAAAGTGTAAAGAAAATAAAGCGGAAAAGGTGATGTCTGGATGACTTTAATGAATTGTTGATATTTACTTTTAGTTATACATAGTTCAATTCAATTATTTTTATGACAAAATTTGTTATAAATTAAGTATGGTTGAATTATTCAATTTCACTTTGTCAATTAGTATAATTAATTAAAATACTTGGCTTATCATATTAATAAGTCCAGACCGGACTTCATTTTAATACACGAATTTAAGTACGGACCGGTAAATTTGAACTTATTCAGACTCCCAGTTAGGAACAAGCATTCTAATATGTCACATGTGTAATTCAAAGGATAGGGAAGCTTATGATTCTGAATTAATAAGATAAAAAGCTCAAGGCATAAGAAATTGACATACAATAAACAACTTTTGCTGCTTATGTACTGTTATCGAAAAATATAACGATAAACACAAAGTGTAACTTTATTATTATTAATATATGGTTTGTTTTAAGATTAATTAAGATCGAGGAATTGAACTCGGAAGGTTTAGCGAAAACTTAGTAAAAGATTTTATTCCTTGCGCCATGAAGAAGTGATACTTACGATCATATGGAAAATTCACGATATGATTCCATAAAGGATCTGATGTTTCATTCTAATTTGTTAAGAACAACGTACCAATTCTTTTTATTTATTTGAAACTACTTTTAATAGATATCACGATCTCTTTTTTGTTCCTAACATTAATATATTCCATGGCCGAAATTTTTTTTTCTTTTTTAAGACGCGAAATTTTTTTCAAAAAGTCTATATACAAAACGCCTTATTAATGTTATCTTAACTTCTGCGGGGATTATTTTGAAATAACACAGAAATACTCCATTCAAAAAGATTTGTTTTTAAACAAAAAGAAAACTTTGCCTGTAAACGAATACACCATAATTTTTAAATGTAATATATATGACCTTTACGATATACATGACAATAAAGAATTATAACAATAAATTACATATTCTTTCTCGTTAATAATTATTAGATAATACTAAGTTGAGCTAAATAACAATAAAAATATTGAAAAAACAAAAAACAAAATCAGAATCGCCAATAATCCCTTAGCATTATCATCCTTCAAACTCTTCAAGGAAAGATCCGCTCGGTTTAACCTATCATAAAAAAGTTTTGAATATTATATAAAAATTACAGTCGTGAAATAAATTATAAATGGGACACCATACTCTAGGTTGGTTATTGTTTGTTCTGAGGTTATTTTGAAATTCTTCTACAATCTGCTGCATGATCCATCCCGTATAATCGATTTCGTGAAGTTCAGGCGGCAATTTCACCTGTAAAGGTTTTCTATTATTGATTGAACTAGTTTCAACTGAATCATCTTTATCCAGATCTATCAAAGCTTTATCCTCTCGAACGAATCGATCACCAGCCAAAATGAATGTAGGAACACTATTTGGTTTTGATGCCTGAGACATCGTAAACTTCTGACTTAGTTTGACATGTAATTGAGCAGGATGTTCCCTCTCAGGCTTATCCTGAGTAGGTGAGAGTTGTAAAGCTTGGTCAGCTTTTACTTGATCCATGATCCTATTTCCGCAAAATGGATTTTCCACAATAAGATTCGCTTTACCAGGTTCCTTTTTTACATCATTTTCACTTGATTTTGATATTTTATTATCTGGCTTAAGGACATTCTGATTGACAATTTTGGATTGATCGGAATTTCCTTTTGATACCGCTGATTCGGACATTAAATGAGGATTAAATAAAAGGTGAAGTTGACTTTTGAGCGTTTTAACTTTATCGTTGGTGTTGACCTTCTCCGCTATTTTAGTAGTTTCCTTTACTACCATTTCCATTTTAACTTCCCTCTGAGAAGCAATTAGTGGGTATGAAACACTCTCTTCACGTGGACTATGTGATGCATCCGCATGTATCTCCTTTTTACATTCATCTTGCTTATGTAGTTCAATAATCTTCGTTGCCTCTGCTGTGACATTTCCTTCATTTTGCTTATAAAGTTCAATAATCTTCGTTGTTTCTGTAGTGTCTTTGTCTGATTCATTTTGCTTATGTGATTCAACGGCTTTCGTCGCTTCCGATTCAATCAAGCTTTTTTCTGATTCAATTTTCTCGAGAGATTCATAATCTGTTTCAATCAAGCCTTTTTCTGACCCAGTTTGCTTAATTGGTTCATCAACTGTTGTCGCTTCCGTTGTAATCAAGTCCTTTTCTGATTTCCCTTGCTTAAGTAGTTCAACAAATGTCATCTCTTCTGTTGTAATTAGGTCTTTTTCGGATTTGTCCGGCTTATGTGATTCAACAATTGTCGTCGCTTCCGTTGTAATTTCCATAGCTTCCTTCGATTCATCAAAACTACAAAATAAATTTTTATTAAATAAAAATAAATATATATATATATATATACTTTCATACATATTATTACAAATATACTTACCATTTTAACGATTTCTTTTACATTTTAATGAAAACAAATACTAGAAGAATTATATAAGGTGTAGTAATTACAAGAACTTAATTATAATGTTGTTTCTCTTACCGAATAATCAACTTCAATATCCACAGGTGATTTTATATTGTCATCAACCTTTTCATCCTATATAATTGCATCAGATCGGATTAGTTTATCATAGAAAATGATTGATTTATCAAGAACAATCATTACATCTTTTACTTCATCACGATCGGCGCGTTCGACAACATCTTTTATCCGTTCATCTTTAAAACCTTGGTTCGCGACATTAATTGGTTCAACAACAACTCCCTGTTCAATTCTTACAGCATCAATAAACTCTTCATTAAGCTTCCAATCAAGTTCAATTAAATAATCATAAATTACCGGCTTAGGAGTGACAGTAAACGCGTCGATTCGTATATACTGATCGTCAACTATTGCGGAAGACTTTATACACTTTGCTTCTTGATTTTGATCAATATCCTTAATACCTGAAAATTTCCAATTCGCATAAGGGTTCTTCTTATGAACAGGAACGTTTCTCAAACAAAAACGATCAATTTTTAGGACCGAGGGACTCTCAGGATTAGTTAAGATGGGATCAGCGATCTTTGATAAAGAGACAAGATAAAAGCACATTAAATTGATATATTATAAAACTTAAAGGTTGTGACGAAGCATAGATACCTCAATATCAAAACCAGCGTTTGATTGATCTTTAAGATGCTCTTTGATATAAGGATTTTCTTTGCGATACTTATGATTGACTTCATTCTTCACGACCGGAACCCGTTTTTCTTCACATTTCTTAAGGTACGAATTCACATCATTTCTAGGACCATAAGATGTATCTTCCTGCTTTTTAAGGTAAGGGTTTTCTACTTGATTCTGACGATACGGGTTTTCTTTCCTGATGTATGGATTTTCTTCTTTCTTGATGTACGGATTTTCTACCTTCCTCGCATAAGGATTTTCTTCCCTTTTCATCATGAGGTAGGGATTGTCCTCTCTTATAATTCTTTTATACGGGTTCCTTTCCATGTTCATATTTACAAATTCTTTGATGAATTCGATTTAATACCACAGACAAGGTGAAATGAATCAAAAAGGAATAAAAAAAAATCGTTAATAAGAGAAAGATGTCATAAATTGTGTTTGTAAGTTGTGATTGTTATTTATACTACAACAATAGTGTTATTACGTAAGGTAATTAAATTGTTTGATTACATCAAAATTGGGACCACAACAAATGAACAAAGGGAAAAAAAAAAAAAAAAAAGGAATAAAGGTAGGAAAGAATTTCTTTTTTTTAAAAAATTAAAAAAAAACCATTAAAAAAAAATCTGCATTCATTGCCTTTATTTATTTAAAATTCACATCACACGTGCCCTTGATAAAAAAAATCGGTTTATTTATTGTACACATTACATCATGTTATATTCCATTTTGAATATCAATTATCGTGATTTATTACCATAATGAGAAGGTTTGAACTGCAAAAGATGAAAAAGATGAGAAAAAAAAAAGCTGCAAGGTCGAATTTATCGTCCAAGTAATTTGCTGCGGCACTGATCGGCATGACTTGCTATATCGAAGAACAAAAGCTTTTTTTTTTAAAAAAAAAAAAAAAAAAAATCGGAGCAAATGGATCAAAAAAATTCCGCTATTATTAACCATTCATATTTAAAGCAACAGGTTCAGTAAAAAAAAAAAAAAAAAAAAAAAAAAAATGTTGCACAATGCCTGAAACCATTTTTTTTTTTAAAAAAAAGGAAGGAAATAGAAAATCTCGGAATATATAGCGAAATGAAGACTTAGCCAAGATAAGCAACAAGACTAACCAAAGTTGAATGGTTATCAAACGGGTTTATTTAAACGCAAACTTTACCTTTTAATGTGTTACCAATCTAAGTTTGAACGCACATGGGATCGTTCGTTTGAAGCTAATGTATCAGAGAACCTTCTTTTTCAAATGTGTCAGACTGTTATGATGACACCTTGTTAATTCAACCACATATAAACATTGGGGACCAATACGAGTCTTCGTTTGATATTACGTAAGATCTAATTTTACCAATTCCTTGTTTTTATATATATAAATATAAACAATGAGTGTAACCTGATTTTTCATACTAAAGAAGTTTTAAATGAGGTTTTTGATTTTTTTTTTAAAAAAAGTTTATTTTTTTCTTTCCTACATATATTTCATTCATTTCAAAACTCAATTATGGAAGTTTACTTATTAAGTACAAAATATTCA